GACAGCTATTTTTTATGCTTTGAGATGGATAAGGGATAACTTATTTATACATTATAAAATATCAATTTATAGTGATTGTCTGTCTGGTCTCCAGGCCTTAAAAAATTACGAATGTAAAAACTCATTAATTGTTGATATTAAATGTCTCTATGAAGAAATCACCAAAATTCATGTTGTGAAATTTAAATGGGTTAAGTCCCATGTTGGGATTTTGGGTAACGAAAGGGCCGATGTGTTGGCCAAGGAGGCAGTTTTTGGGCGAATCCGGGGAGTGTTCCATTGTCCAACCATCCAGAAGAATTCTTGTAAATAAAATAAAACAATTTTATATTGATATGTGGAAAAAGGATTGGAATGAGTCTGATAGAAAAAAGGATTACAGTTATAATTTGATCCCTACATATAATAAATGTATTTTCATGCTGCCTGGATCTTAATCAAATTATCACAGGACATGGACGCTTCCCGGAGTACCTAAAGAGATTCGGTCTACAAGAAAATGAGTTATGTTATAATTGTGGAGTTACGGGTTCAGTTAAACATTTTGTAAATGAATGTGATTTAACTTATGATATAAGACAAAAGTTTGGACATATTAATACATTTACTGGAAAAAACACTGAATTTGAATTTGCTAGGGAATTAATGAATTTTATTAATAATAATCGTGTTAATGTCGGAATTTTGATTTAACATGTGTTTAGTGTTTTTATGATAGAGCATGGTCTGTGTCTTGTGTTTTGTCCTTTTGTTTAGTTAGTTTCTAACCATTCTATTTATTTTAATTATTATTGTGCCGTTAAGGTCCATTAGGTTATATCCTAATGGACGTATTTTATTATGTGGTTTTTAACTTGGCGCCTGGAAAAGTCATAAAATCAAATCGATTAGGTGGATGGGGGGCTGCGCGTCTTTCTGTACCTATTCTAGACTTCTCAACTCTCCCTCACATTCTCTTGCCAAGATGTAAATTTAGAGTTAAGTAAATTGCTTATTTCTCTCTATGCCCCACGGATCTCTGCGTATGTGCTGAAAGGGGCGACCCTGATAATTACATTTTTTATTGTAATCTGACAGATGGTGAACATCTGATTAAGCCTAACAACAGTCTAATACCATTTAAAAATACGCAATAATGAACAGACACCTTAGGGCTAAAAGCAGAGACATTTTTATACATATCCAAAGACTCGAACAGGATATTTTTCATATGTAATGCTTACGCATCTCCAAATATTGCTAAAATATATTTATTTAAATTTTATAATTTAATGTCCCAACAATTTCCTTTTTCTATACGCCGTGCTGATGGATGGGAGTACTTGTTATACTATGCAAATTTTTGCTGTACTGTCAAGTGTTGAGGAGATTCCGTAAAAGTTTGGATAAGTATATATATATCAAAGACTTAGGTGGATACACTGGAATTTATTGATTGTATTATGAATCAATTTGTATATATTTATAGATATCTTAAGAAAAAAATAAGAAATAGTGTAGATTAATTAGGCTTGAATTCAGACTTTGTTTTAGAACAGGACGGTGATCCGAAACATTTGGCTCTGAATACAAAATTGCGATACGTTTACAGTATTCCTTAAATGTCTTGAAACACCTAATCGCCACATTTAGACTTTACTGAGCATTTGACCCAAAGGTTGATTCAGTCAGTGTCTACTAGATTGAAAACGGAGAAAATGCAACAAAATATTGAAGATTAAATTTTTAGGTTTACTTTTTTAACGAAAATGGCTAAATACTTCAGGGTAGCTTATTTAGTCTTGTTTTAATTTAAGGCTAAAAGTTTCAGGCAATTGGAAGTAATTTATTTGTATTTTTGTATACAGTATTAAAAGGCAAATAGAAAATTTCGCACAGCATGTTACTTTTCAGTTTTCCTGTATTTATCAATTTAAATTGTTTAAAATTTCAAGACTTTTTGCTGCCACAAGAATTTCAAGAGGGCTGAATATTTTTTTTTATAAAACACAGCTATGCAACTATGAATCTCGTCACATAAAGGAGCTAAAACATTTATTTAAATAAAGAAAACCTATTTGTATGAAAATGAGATTAAAAAAAGGACAAGAAGAATGAAATATCATACGCCAACTTTTTTCGTTGTCACACTTACTCATCTAAGTGACTCGATATGGTAGCAGTTACAGCTGCATGGCCATTTGTGAAAACTTCCTTGAAACTCTTAGCAAAATTAATAAAATCAGATGCAGTTTATCATCTGCATCTAAAATAATATAGTGATATTTTCTGTTTACCCGTATTTCCTTTTTAGATATACTTTTGTAAATTGGCGGAAAACTGCTGCGTTGTTGTGACTTATCTTATTTGTCTGATGGTAACATCAGAACAAACCCACGAAATGCATCGTGTCGAAGACTGCAAGACGTCACCTGTCATTGGCAAGAGTCTCCAGCACCATACAGGTAACAGTACGAATTTGCTCAGTTCCGCCCCTAACCTTGAAGGAGAGCATCCTGGTGGGACGTATCAGATCTGCCTCCCTCTTCCCCTACCAATCTCTCGAGAGGACATTCTGCTCGCAACATATTTAGAGTATCCCATACCACACAGACACTACAAACTTTACAAATACGGTACGGTACTCAGAGTCATTATCCACCATCCCGGATGAGGGGTGAAAAACCGTTGTTTTGTTAATTTTGTGAATCGTAAATACTGTTCTGCTCATAAACAAAATGAAGCATTTTAGAAGAAATTTGAGAGCTAGTTTTTTTAAAGCTACTCGTGTGATTTTTACAAAACTTGCCATTTGTCATTATTTGAATAGTAGAATAGAAATATGGGAAAAAAATCAGTATGTCACTCAGATAAAGTCTGATTATGTCAAAATACCTATGTTAGATTAATGCTGCATATAAATCTAACATATATACTGAGTCCGATTTTTTGTCAAAATATCTATGTTAGAACAACGCTACATATAAATCTAATGCATACACTAAGTCAGACATGACAAATGCATGTTAAATTTCATGAATAGGCCTGGAGAAACGAGAGCTATAGAACTATCCGTTTCTTCGCGTGCAAGGTGCACATTAAAGAGAAAACGTTTTTGCATTTTGTTGAATCTATTTAGTCAGATGTGCACGAGAAAATTTTCTACATTAAGCGGTCTATCAATTTGTCATACAGTAGTATATGTTTACAATTTACATTTTAAAATAAAACATATTGTGGCAGCAAACACAATGCATAAGTTGCCGAAAGACAGTACTGTAATTTATATTCTTTTAACGGTAGTGGTATGGACTTTCATTATAAAATCCATGGAAGAGTTCATGGAATCCATTCTTCATAAAATATAGGAATCAGAGAAAGTATGTTTTGCATAAAATATCATGTGCGCGTATTTGTATGTTTTATATCCGAGACAGTACACTTAAATAGTGTCGGATTTGATAAGCGAATCCTTGATAACATGCTTTTCTGTTGAACACATTGAAAGGAAATTGATTCCACATGGGGCACTCAGTTTTGGAGGCCCTTGAAAAAATGCAATTTAATCCTGTAAGTATCATTTCAAAAGCTATAAAGGGAGGAAACTTAACGTATAAAGAGTTTTTTGTATTAATAATACAAATTAAAGGAGTCGTAAATTCGAATAGCGCTTTTTCATTATTATCCTTGATAAACAGATCAATAACTTCTACTATTTTGATTTCACAAATTTAAATTAAAATTCAGTTTAAAAATGGCAGATAATAACAGAAATTGTGCACTTGATTTGAAAAAATATCGCCATAGTTACTTTAGCGAATTACAGGAGCAAATGCAGATTCCGAAAATACAATGTTCGTGTTAGAAATTTAAGGTACAGAGCCATTAACCTTATTTTGGCACAGGAAATAAGAAGAATCAATGATGATCTTGTCGAAATTCAAACTGAAACATTCAAAGTGGTAGCCAGATGGGCTTTCATATTGCATCAATAAGGCATGAGCTAAGAAAGGAGAAAGTTTCTTATATTCTTCTCTACTCAAACGGCAATACATCAAGAGGAGATCCATTCGCCGAATCCTGTTGATGACGAATTATTATCCTCCCCATTTTAGTTCGGGCGCTAGTTATGCTGTCATTTAGGAGTTTTTGGAGCAAAAATATGTGAAAAGTCAGAAAGCTACTGACAGAGATTCGAACTGTGGACCTTGCGTTGGCTAGCCGGATTTGCTTCTAAGACACGCGATAAGAAAACAGAAAATTCCTTGTTTTTGGTAGAAACACATTCTAGTAGCTTTAAAATTTATATCTCAAAATTCCTGTGTATATGCGCCAGAATGAAAATTTTCTTCAATAAGGGTTTGAGTTGAAATGAAATATTTTATACTTATATTGTATAATTTTGAATTTTCAAAGAGTGGTTTATTTTATGCTATATTATGTGAAAATGCTATGTTTGAAATGTATGTGTCTGAATTTTCAGTGTATTAATATTTTCCGAACTTTTGAGAAATTTGCTGTCCAGTGATTGAAATTTTGCAAACATTGCAACTCGAGAGGGTATGTATGGTCGAGTATTTGTCTCGCCATCAAACACTGATGTATAAATGTATTGTTGTACTTACATATTAGTGAGTGGTACGAGAGTTTAGTCAGTGCTAATGGTGGTGGAAGTACCGTGCAACATTTTGTGTTCTATGGAAGAAAGCCTTACGAACATGGTTTTGGCGTGAATTTCCGATAATTTTAATTTTTGAATGAATTAATGTAAGTAAAATGAAATCAAATAGTTTCAAGCACTTTTAATATGCACAGACATTTACATTGCCACATATTGATAAATATTTTGCTAGGCGTTACATGCGTAAATGCCATTCCCATTGAGGAACGTGGAAGAGTTGAGTTAAGAAGCTGAAAGCAAGAGATTTTCCAAACTATTCCTAAAATAATCAAAAAATATATATGTTCATTCCTTTCAATTTCAAGTCACATTTCTCATTTGTGGGCATTTGAAGTATTACGACCTCAAAGACAATCGCTGACGCATAAGATCCAGACATTTCAACGTCACTTTCATGTAAATTTTCATTTCCTCTCTCGGATCTAAAGAGGTAACCTTGAAATTTCGGACAATATGGCTTAAAATTATCTTCATTTCCCCCATCGCATATCTCTGACCTGAAACAATGATAGAAATTTGTAACTGCTTAAGATGTTAAAAAAATCTGAATTTGAGTAACTGTGTTTTTAATTCATTCCTTATAAGAATGGTTACCTTTACGTCACGTTTAGGCAGATTATAAATTATTTTCAACAGTCAGGATTAAACATTCAAAATGTGATTTGTTGTTGTTGCTGCTGTTTAGCAAACTTTCGTGAATGAACAAGCCCGTAAGTAACATAGTTGAAAAAGGGGGTACATTTCTTCTCGGCCAAATCTCTTAGACACTATGGGTGATAATATGATTATCTGCCAACTATTTTATATAAATATTAATTGAAATCTTATAGAGGTGTGAAATTTGAGCATTTGGAACACTTTATTTCTTTTTTAGCTATAGCTTTTCCAAAAAAAAAAACTATGCCTTTTCTCCACATACACGTAGCAATTAGAAACGTCTGTACCTTACTCGAAATTCGAAATCTAGCTTACAAATTAAAAAGGAACGTTTACGAGCCATCGTAGCGATAATGTGGTAATTATGTAAGCTAGATGCTAGAAAAAAAGGACATATCTCTAAAGCTCTAGTTAATTTACGTGCCCTTGGCTACTAGAACTTTCATGAAGTGTCTCGCGACTATTCGCAGGTCTTCCTACAATTATACAAGTCCAAAGAAAGGTTAAAATACCCTTTTATTCACTCAAACACTCACTGATGGCCTCTTCTCGGGCTCAACGGAAAGCCTCTACTTGGGCTCTACCTTAAGATGGAAAATAAGAACAAAACTAATTCTAACTAGCTAAACTTTAGCCGAAGCTGTACAAAGATAACTAACCGAGTTGACGCGTAATTAAACCTCACCAGCGAATACTAACATATACGTAAGACTACGTCTGTACGTAATAAGATAGGGCTTAAAGTCACAACGTGGCTCGAAGGCAGAGCACGCTGTACTGAGAATTTCTGAACACTTCTTCTACGGAAGGCGACTGAACTTCCCATTAAATACTATTTCTGCTTCACTTGCAGAGACATTAAGATTTTAATTGGAAGCAGGGAAGATGAAAAATATGCAACTGCCTTCGCCGGGAATCGAACCACGGACCTCTGGAATACCGGCCCAGCGTGCTACCGTTACACCACGAAGGCACGCTAGGAAAGTGAGAGAAATACCTTATACACTTACATACAATACGACACTGAAATCTCATTCTGGCAGGGAGTTGTAGAATTTAAAGAAAATGGTTTCAAATTAAAATAATCCCTTCAACTCTAAGAAGCTCAGACTCTGAACTGAAACATCGGAAATTAGTTGAAGGACGTTCATCATGATGTTTAGGTAGGATATTAATTTTAAAACGGAAATCCTTCGAAACTATGCCAATAGTTGCATTTAAAAAATGTTTTTCCAGATATTTTAACCCGTTTGAAAATTTTATGCATTTCATTTGGCAGCTATATTACTTTGAAAAAAAATCTTCTTTAATTGCTACCAAATCTGTTGCCAGCAGTTTAATAAAATAAAAGCTCTCTTAAGCAGTCTATACTTTAAAAAGCGTTTCGAAATATAATTACAATCACTGCTCGCCCTGATCTCTCGAGTGATTATTGTTGTCGGCTGCTATACCTTTAGGCCCGCACTCTAGCTCTGGATAAGATTTTGATGTTTCTAAGTGTGTAGTGTCTTTGTGTAATCGAGGCACATAAAATAAACGGCAAATTAAAAATCCTCTTGAGTGGCTGGCGATATGGAAAGAAGAACTGAAGGCATTTGGTCCCGTTCGTTAGGGCGGGATTCTCCTTTAAACTTGGGACGAAAATGAGCAAAGTCCTACTTTTCACCTATAAAATGCCTAAAGCTCAGTGTAAGATACGATCTGCGTTTCTCCCTAGGGTAAAATTCGTGAACTTTTTCTGAATTTTGTAGAGACATTAGGTATTTTTGGAAGCAGGTAAGATGACAAATTAGCAACGCCTTCGCCGGAAATCGAACTGCGAATCTCTGGAATACGCGTCCAGCCTGCAGACCATCACACCATGAAGGCACGCCAAAAAGGCTGGAGAAATACCTTATAACTTACTGACAGACAGGTACGATAATTACAACACCATTTACTACCATTAGTAAAAGATGATGAGAGGCTTTCAGGGATGTATTACAAATTTTAACTCTAAACTTCCTATAGAAGCAAGGATAAATAAAGAATTTAAAACATTTTCTCAATCCTGTGAGGTATTGGCTGTCAGCCCTAATTTTTTTAAATATCTTCGTAATGGAAATTGCTATTTTCTTATTTTAAACATTTTAAGTAATGATGAATTTCATTTTCGGAATAACCCCCAAATAATATTCGTATTGATAGTATTTTACAATCATTGTATTGATAGTATTTACAATGTATTCATTCAATTTATCTTCGCTCTTGTCACGAAAAATAAAATAAAATTCGTTTTCATTATAAGAAAGCGACTAAGATTTGATATCTAAAGCACACCCTCATTAAGGATTATAATGAATTCAGAAATTAGCCAGTGCATACAATAAAAAGTTGAAAAACTACGAAGACGACGAGTAACGAACTCCTAAATTCGTCGGAAACAGAACCTAGAATAAAGACACAGTGTTTAGCTGTTTCAGCACTTCGAATTATTTGTAGGCTGATATAATAATAAAGAATAATTGGAATTTTTTTATAAGTAGCAAATCTCTTCGACGATTTTCTTGCAAATCTGCCGCAAATTACATCATATAATTTGGGTATAAAAATAATAACCCTTAATGCATAGAATTTCGATTAACTTTTTACCTTCTAATACAAAATTAAAAAATTCATTTCGTGCTATGTTATGTTGCAAAATCGGAGTCAGTTCTAGGCATAATATACAGTTCAGCTGGTAGTCGAAGGGTTGTGAGTTCGAATCCTCGAGAATGCGTTATTAAATTATCATGTATTCCAGCTTCGAAACATTTCAAAAGCCTCTACAAGTGGCGTCCGAATTATGTGCTGAATGATAATTCGTCACCACCACAACTAAGTAACTAGATCCTATTTTTCAAATCTGCCCTTTAAATGAGGGAATTCTTTTCTTCCTTTCTACTTGCCTTCGTGCTGTAACAGGAAGCATATCTGGATGGCCATTTAGAAACCAGAGCTCTGGCGCTGGAAAAGTTGAATTGTGTATTTTCCGGTCCGAAAAGAAACCTAATAACTGGTTGACGTGTCAGTTTTAAGTGCTAAATTCAAAGACAAAATGCTTTGTAGGTATGTCAGTGTTTGTTTGCTTTAAAATGTAGTATCCGTAAATATTTTTCGAAGCGTGATTAAGAAGAAGAGCATCTTTGTTGCTCAGCAAATGTACTCACAAAAATGTTCATTCTTTAGACATTGCTATGGGCGTTTTAAGAAGAGGATATAAACATGACTTCTTTACGTAAAAAATGAATTCATTTAATGAGTAAAATAATTTATGTCATTATAATATCTCATGCTCACAACGTAGTGCATGTATTGACATTTTATCCTCTTGCGAAGCTTGAGTTTGGCTATTTATTCGCTTAAGTAGTTATTCAAAATTTATTTTAAAACACTTATTTTACGGTAATAATTCTTTTAATTTAAGAGATTTTAGTTTCTTTAATTAGCATACAGATTTTTCTTAAATTAATAAGAACTTTTCTTTACGAGTCCTCTTAAATTTAGAAGCTTATGTTGGGTTTCATTGGGAAAACTAAACTCATTCGGGAAAAATAATAATTTAATTCATTCACTTAATCAATTCTGAAGTTAACATACTGTACACGACCTATATACTTACCTATACAAGATCTGCGTCCTGCAGAAAATGGAATGTAAGAAAACGCATCATGTTTTCCGATGTTTTCTGAAGAAAATCTTCCGGGATCAAATTTTTCTGGGTTGAGAAACACTTCTGGATCTCTGTGCAGCATATAAATTAAGAATGCAATTTGAGTTTTGGGTGGTATAGTATAGGACCCTGCAACAAATGAATCATTAAACTCTATACAGAATTAAACAAAATCAAATAATCTAAAGAAAAAACAGACATTGTTTTTATTTTACATATTTAGTATAACAAATAATTAAAAATCAAAAAGCTTTTTACGAAAATATTTAATATCTCAATGTTTATATTGCATTTATAAGACCAAATTTAGACTACGACATTCTGTCTTCCCAGCTTGCACCTCGCACAAAACCTGAGAGAGCGTATATTGCTAGCTGTATCATCACTGAACTATATCACAGCTACACTAGTAAAACCATTAGTTTCCTGTTTTCCTGTTATCAGCTGATGTTTAGGGTCTGAGTTTAAGAACAGCGTATTTTAATAAAATTATTCATCAACAATTCTTCGCAAGAGGAGCGCAATGCCTACCTTTCTTCAGTAGTTGACGAAATAATAAAAGCGTAATGAAAACCATGAGTTTATTGTTATGAATATCACTGTTGTGAGTTGTGAGGTTTGACTGTTATGAGTTAGAACGGATGCAGGGATTCGCTCACCATTTTATTTAACTTCTGCGACCTTACTGGTTACTTCTGCGACTTTTATCCATGATCTCTTTGAGTGACTTTACGAATTAAAAAGCTATTAAACAAATAAAGACCTTCAAATAAAGGTACTTACCATTTCTATGTCTCTTATAAGTAACAGAAGATTTAAATATATCTCAAATTTTATCCGTAAGAGTCTTCAAAAATATTCAGACGACTATAAACCTTATTTAATAGGAAGAACATGGTTAGAGAACAAAACAAATTGACTGAAAATTACGTTCTCAACTTGAGTAACAAAAATATTATTTGCAAACTTATCTCTCAGCAGAACAAATAATTGCAGTTTTAATATTCAATGCAATTCCTAGAGTAAAATTTCACTTTTAGAAACATTAATTACAAATAGTTTGAGTTTCATTTTCAAAATAGTAGCAATGTTAGTAGACCTCGGTATTTTGTATAATGAAACTCAGTGCAATCTTGAGAACTGTGATAAATTTAACGTGCTCAGAAGGAATTGGGCGCCATTACGAACTTTTCCTGGAGCATCATTCACCGTACCTAAAAGACTGAAATAGTATTTATTATGTTGTGGAGATTTATTTAATTTATTTAACTGTTATTTTATGTCGAAGTAGCTTTCCTGCCGCTCTTGCTTTCAATTCACACTTTCTTTCCAGAATGCAAATGATCTAGGGTGCGTGTACTCAAATGAGGTAGAAAGAAGTTAATAGTTAACGGAAGGTTTTGGGAGGTGAAATCACAGGATGTTGTGTCCGAATGAAAGCCACGTTACTATCTTTGATTTTCTAAAGATTAGATTTCTGTGGCGTAGAGCGCTTCTTGCCATTAGAGTTATTTATGCCCACTTTCGAGTCAAAAACCAGGTTGCGTGGTAATTAAACTGTGAAGCCGTTAGGCTAAATTTAACTTCATTTAAATTTAAGCTGGTCATTACCTTTTTGAGTTCAGCCAAAAGTGTTGTCTCTTTAAACACAAGTTGGTGTATCTGTGAATTTTATTTTAGTTAATAAAGAGTTTTTTACGCCCTTCTCCTGAATTTGTTGTACTTTAAGATTAGGGATAATTCTTTAAACAGTCTTCTTAGGTCTAGCTCAGTTAGTGATAGCGAAACGCACTAAACTGGAGCTCAAACAATAAAGAGAATTACGTCACAAGAAGTTTAAGTTTACTTTATAGTCATTAACGTTGCAAAACTACGTCGGCGAGATTTGGATTTATCGTCCATACCTTAAGAGTTGGTATGAAGCCAGCAGCAACTTTTGATGGGACGATTCCAATTATAAATTTTATCGAACAGTTAAATTATAATTTTCTACTACATCCAGTGCCAAAGGCACAAAATGTTGCCATTGTTATATCCGCACTTAACGGCAAGCGATATAAGTGCACTGGAAAATTCACGTTAGAAGAGGCAGCTGCACTTTCGAAAAATTTTAAACGCCCTCATTAAGGCGTTCTTCATTGTCAAGGATAGGGCCAAGCTCGAGTCGTAGCTATTTAGTAAATATCAATTAAAAATTGAAAACCTGAGGTCTTTATTCTAAGAAGAGTCCAAATTTTTAATCTGTTGTTGGCAAGAGACCGATTGAAGAAATCATTTAAGTGATTTTGCCGTGACTACTATCCCAAGTTCAGGACTATTTTAAGTTCCGGATTCCAGCAATGTTGGAAAACGTTTTAGAATTAGCCAATAAGTTGCAAAACGGACGCGTGGCAGAAAACAAATAATAGCATGGTACGGTGAGAGCCCAAAAGAGTGAAGTTTTAGGCCAACGCCTCAAGGAAAACATCAATTTGGGAGGAAGAAACAATTTTAAAAAAGAGAAAAACATTCAACCGGGAGTAGTTGGTGGCCAGGGACAAGAGAGTTGCAGGTTTCACTAAACAATATTCCTGCAGAAGCACGGATTGATACTGAAGCCCAGTGTAGTTATTTTTTTCCGAAACTTTCGTTCGAAAATACTTTCGCAAATATAGACTTAGACGGAGCTAAAGCTATTACCGCACAAGGCAAGTAGTGTACATGTACCGGTAAGATACTATTGCATCATACTTGCAAGATACTATTGCTTGTATGAGTGAAGGACGAGACCCTTATATATTTTCTTTGTAGTTCGAAAGCTTCAAGGCGGCGTGATTTTAGAAGTATACTTCTTAAATGCAGCAGGGCCTCATATTTACTTTCATGATTTTATTTTTACAATTACAGATAAATAGACTACAAGAAAGAAGAACCCAGCCACTGGAGACGGCAACTGATCACCGGGGACAGCAACTGAACGGTCACTTGTGACCGTAAGAGAAATGGAAATTAAAAACCTTAGTGAATTTTCAAATCGCTCTAATGATAGTCCTGACACCACTCGCATAGTCAACCAGGAGACTGTTCAAGGAATTGCTGCCCCAGTGAGGTCGAATCATATCGCTATGATAAAATTAAAGAAAAAAATTATCGAAGATCGTATTCAGGAAATGCTGAAAATTAAAATTGCAACGCCAATTATCAGTACTGATGCTTACCAGGTGGTCCTGTGTAAAGAGAAAAATTATTTCCTACCCAACAATCACAAAGTATGGCGATTCGCCGTTGATTATAGAAACATTAATAGCATAACTAAATATCCTGTCTACGCCTTGCCCAAAATTGAGGAAATCATCCGACAATTTAAATGTACAATATCTATTACAGCGTTATACCTAACGTCCGACTATTCCTAAATTAATAATTTACTTCAAGCATTTTCGCTCTTACATGAAGCTGAACTAAAAATAAATGCTGCTAAATGTAAGTTCGCTGCTTCAGAGTTTCATTACTTAGGATATAAAAATCCGGTAATGGAATAGAAACAAAAATAAAAAATAATAGCGATTAAAAACTACCCCCTGCCAAATACTGCAAAGAACTTATCATCATTCTTAGAAATGTGTTCTTATTAGAGAACTTTCATTAAACATTTCCTTCAAATATCCGAACCATTATTACAATTAAACAGAATGAAAATCCGGGTTTACTTGGTCAGCCGAAGTCAATACGGCATTAGAAAAATTAAAACAAGCCTTAAAACAAGCGCCCGTGTTAAAATTTCAGGAAGGAGAGGAAAACATGGAAATTTCGACAGATATCTCCGATTATGCAATAAGCAGCCCGTGATGTATTTTTCAAAAACACTCACGCAAACTCAAAGAAATTATATTGCTACGGAAAGAGAAACTTTGGCCGTACTTTTAGCCGCACAGAAATTCAGAGTTTATTTTGGTTAAGGCTCCGATAGTCGTGTATTCAGATCACGACGCCCTGGGACGACTATATTCCGGCAAAAACTCAAGTCCACGACTCATAAGATGGGCATTGAAATTGCAAGAATTTAACTGAATAGTCAAACACACACTCGGAATGGAAAATATTATCTCGAATAAAATTAGACGAAGAAGGAAAACAAATAAAATGCTCCATATTAACATTAAAAGTATTAGATTCCAGAGAAACAATTATTTCCGAGTTAAAAAAGGATCCAGAATATAGGCATATTTCTGCATACTTTGCAAGACCTGGATAATTTCGAACATCCGGATATCGTGGCTATAAGGAATAGAGCAGCAAACTATGAAATAGTCGATAAACTATTATTTTACACTAAAACAACAAATGAGAATAATGAAATAAGGCCAATCATTCCAGCCGAGTTGCGACTATCAGTATTTTTTAAGGAATTGCATGACACGATGCACCTACTGCAGGTCACCAAAGGTCATCCGGAAATAACTGTACATAGAGTGCGCGAGGCGATTTTTTTCCCGCGACTTCAAAGAGTGGTAACCGAGTATGTCAGGTCCTGCCATACATGCCAGTTAGTTAACGATGTAAATTATAGCCCGGCCGGGTATCTAAATAGTATAAGAGCTACTTTTCCTAATGAGTTAATTGGAATAGATCTACTGGGCTCATTTCCAAAAAGTGAAAGTAATAGAAATAGATATTTACTAGTAATAGTAGACCATTTCTCAAAATGGTTAGAAATAGTCCCCCTTAAAAGAGCCTCAGCGAAAATTGTAGCCGATTCTTTTCTAAATAAATACATTTTAAAATATGGTGCATCATTTAGGGTAATATCAGACAACGGTCGCCAATTTGTTAGTCAAATTTTCGAGAAGCTATGTGCAGGGCTTGACATCCGCCACCTTAAGATGGTACAGACCGCAGTCAAATATTGCCGAGCGCGTAAACAGAAACATAGTAAAAATCATTCGGAGCTATGAAAACGTATCACCGACGTTGGGATGACTGTGTAGATCAATTGGCGTATGCCCTCAGAACAGACAAGCTTGATACCACAGGAAAGACCCCTTGTGAACTTTTTCTGGGGAGGAAGATAATTACCCCTTTAGATAAATTATTTTTTGTCCAGAAAAGGGAGGAAGAATTTAAACAAAAAGATATCCAGAAGCTAATTAATGATGCAATCAAAAATTCAGATGTAGCGAGAGAAAAACAATTTTTAAATTTAAACCTGGGGATAAAGTACTGAAAAGAAAACATGCATTATCTTATCCCCCTCGAAAAAGTGGCAAAATTTCCCCCAAGATTTGAAGGCCCATATATTATAGAACGTATTTGTGGATCAATATTATATTTAAAAAGAAGTAAAGAGCACAAGATCACTGCCAATGTGGATCAGGTGAAAAAATACCATGATCGTAATGACATGCCTATTTTTAAGGATCTTTTGCTGGACAACTCAAATTTAGAAGGGCCTTCAAACAGCACAAGCCATTCTCCCAGGAACCAAAAGGAATGAAGACTAGGTCTTGGAGCCGGATGGAAAGAAGCGGCGATTTCAAGAACCTAGATGTATGAACAAACGCAAAAGAGAAAACCACCATAAGAGAAATAAGGTCCTGAGAAAGAAAGGAGAGACTAGACCCCGCACAAGATCGACAAGCAGGCAAATGGAGAGGAGACAGCAATTGAGACATCCGAACTTACGAAGCTAGCCACTAAGGAAGGAAGTCAACAATAAATTAGCACCTAAAGTTCCACAGAGGAAACGTCCATTAGACGAGGAGCCGTTGAACAGAAGGAAATATTTAAGAAACGGAGGACAGCCTACGGACGTCCAGCGAAAAATTCCACGGCCAATCCAAGCAGGGTCCTCAGGCACAACCGGAAACCGTCCAGCGCAAGTTCAAGGAGAACATAGCCGAAAGAAAGCAGCCTGGGAAAGAGGTTTCAAAAGAAAACAACCGCTAACGGAGAGCAACGGGAACGGCCAGCCCCAGCAGCGGATTCGAGTGAGACATCTTAACTAAGCTCTTTCGGGGAAGGATTACGCCAAACAAAAGATAAGTCAAAATTATTCTATTTAAATTTATTTTAAAGCTAGTACGAAGTTGGTTGAAAATATTTATGTCAGTTTCGCCTCTGGAAGAGGACGAGATTTGTTTAATTTAGCAAGAAGCTTACAATTTTGTATTTAGCAAGAAGCTTACAATTTTGTATTTAGCAAGAAGCTTACAATTTTGTATTTAGCAAGAAGCTTACAATTGTGTATTTAGTAAGAGTTTACAATTTTGTCTTTAGCAAAAAACTTTCAATTTTGTGTTTTTGCATTATTGCTATTACGCAAGTAATTGAAAATTTGTTCTATTAAGCAAGTAGCTTTAAATGTTTATGAAAAGTAAGAAAGTTTAGCAAATAATTTTCGCCATGTTAGAGTAAAATGTTAACTTTGTTCGTAGAGACTGAGGTAAGAAAATGTTTGTATGGTATCAAGTAAACGAACTTCGTGACTTAAAGTGTTAGAAATTCGTGCATGTATTTAATCTATGCTTATTTTTCAACGGAGTAAAGTAAGCTAATTGATTATGTAAAAATGTTTGAATTCTGAATTACTTAAAGTATTTTGTATGCGTGAAATTGTGTTTCGAATGAAAGAGTAGTCTATGTTACTGATGATAAGTTCTAAAAAGAAGTTAAGATAAATTGAAAATGAATGAAATTTAAAAGGTTAGGCTCTCCAGACAACACTAATTTTCACTAGCGTTAGCATCTCAGGCTGAGATTTGATTGTAAGGTGTCTGTCTAGGTCTAATTCTAACAAGTAAATGTGAGATAGTCGGTAAGTGTTATACTCTTTTTACATAAAGCACGCGGGCATTTTATGGTACACAATGCTGGAAAGCAAGGGGAAGTTTCAATGTTATTTAGAAAGATTGAATTGAGTAAATGTAGAAAAGGTTGAACTGTTAAAAGATATATATTAAAAGTGTGGCAAATGTAAGATGTATATAAGCACGTACTAAACTTACCTAGAAGGAGTCAAAACAAGATTTGCTAAAGAAGGAATTGTAACTATGTGCCACATTGTCCATCTGTAAAATTTTTAATTTAGTTAAGATATAGTTTAAGATTGTAAAGGTGAACTCACATGTAGATTTAGAATTTAGCTATCTTATCCAGGATTTTAAAGCCTTGTTATGCGATAGTTAAATTCTGGCGAGGCAAATTGTAGGGTTTTTCTTAATTTGCATAACAAATTTATTTTAAGTTTACCTGTTCTCAGCTTCTCAAATTTCCCCTTACATTCTCTCGCCAGGATGTAAATTTTAAGTTAAGTGAAGAAGTGCTATTTAAACGTGTGATTATATCAGTTTATTCAGAGAGTGTTTCGCTAGCCTAGCACACGTTTCGTTGTTATTTTAGCGGTAACTCGAGTTAGGCCCTTTGGCCGTTTTCAGTTTAATATCACGCCGGTTAGATCTCTGTTTGTCCATCTCTTAGGAGAAATTTTGAAGTGGGTTCTTGCACTCGTTTTATATTTCAGATTTAATTTTGTATTCTCGTCTACGTTTAAATTATCGCCGAAAGTTAACGTTGTTTTTGTAAAGCACGAAGTTCGTGCTGTTTGTTATTTTATTTTGAGTTAATAAAGGGTTATTTTCATCCTTCTTCTGTGCTGGTATTTATTTCACGCCTGTGCTAGAACTCGCCAGATTCATCATAGGATCTAAGTTAATGCATATGGACAGTTAGAGATAGATCTTACGCTCCCACCAGAGAAATCGAGGAAAATCTCTATCTCGAAGACAAATACTTACTATTTGCTAATTACCTATGTATACCTGAAATAACCCCATATTTACTGTTACATCTGTTAAATACTTGACATTAATTCCAAGTAATTTGGATCCTTTTTTAAACAATTATTTAAAGACAAGTAATTTCTTTCCTTTCCTGAAGCCTCGAATACGGTTCTTATCTTTATGGGTGCCCACCAGCGGCCGAGCGGTAAAGTCGCTGAACACTGGTAGTTGGGTCCGCGAACGATCTGGCTGCATGGGCGTTTTCGTGGTTTTCCCCATGTGTAACGTGTATACGAGCCAGTGTCCCTTAGAAAGTCCTCCACGAAGGCATACCTCATCTCCCAGATAGCCCTAGTGTGCTTTTCCATAATTAAATATACAAAACCAAACCAAACTTATCTTTGTGGTTGAATTTTCTTTAATTACAGTCCTATATGGTAGGCAAAGCCAATTTTAGGTTCTTTTTCACTTCAACATATTCTACACAATATTCAGCACATTCGTTAAACATATTTTTCATCTTTTTTTCAGATAGTTATTTGAATGAAGATTTTTTATGCAGGATTTTAACTTTTTCTTTGCTATCAATCTATTATCAGGTAAAACCGAACGCTCTTATAACCAAGGAGCAGACACCTGATATCTACTCTCACTAACCTTGTTTAATGACTGACGAAAATAGTTTTTAGTTACTTCGTTTTTTTTTCTTGCTTGTATAGTAGTAGGATCAGTTATTCCTAACGAGTCAAAACACAAGAAATACGAAATTTGAGCATCATTAACATTATGTATCAATAAAGTTTCCATACTGTTAGATACTAATTCAAGCTTTCCAGTTTTCCTATTATTGTCCATCCTAATCTGGCATATACACATGATAAGCCATATGTGAGTTGTCTAACCTTTCCTATTAGATGCTTTCCCTCTATATATCTGCTTCTAATAGAAAATGAATTTCTAAATGCGTTTTTCGTACAGCATAGCCATAGATTTAATCTGCTTATCAGTTAAATAAATTTTGTTTTTCAGCAGTTCACTAAAAAACTTGAAAGTAAAATCTAACAATTTCCTTAAATCTTAATTAAATGAAAATTTTACAATTTCTTTTTCTGTGGCACACAATAAATCACATATGAATTATTATGAATGATTATGAATCGTTAATGTAATATTCAATGTTGCATCGACTTATTATTTGCTGTAACAAAATTCTGTAACGATTATAGATAAACTCTTGATCCTAAAATAAATTATTTTTTACCCTGCTTAGCTTTAGAAACCAGTATTTATCTACTTATTTCTTTGAACCACTTTCAATTCAAAATAAAATTCGTAATTACATATGGAGAAGCTTATATTTTAATTGAGGAAATATTGAAAAAAACTGAGCTTTATACCGGCATTGGACTTTCACTAAACTGAGATATTCCTTACTTCTTCGAAAACTTATTTAGATGAGAGAAAGCATCAATTTTAGTGAGTATGCTTTACAAATTGTAGTGTGAAATACTGGAGTGTAATAGTTCTTGCTCTTTATAGAATAGCTAGATTCATTGTAAATTTACTCTAAAGTTTGAAAAGTAATTTAAATTCTTTTCGCTGAATTATTTTTAAAACAGAGAAATGTAGATTTAGAACTCCAAAATGAAACCAAACTCACCAATTTTAATGCTTTCTTTGTTTTCCCTTGCAATAATGGGTGCAGGTGGATACAGTCGTAACGTTTCCTGAAATTGGAAACATTATTAATTCATGACATGCTAGAAATTTGAAAAATATTGAACGTTTATAAACATAACAAGGATTCATGAGTTGAAATAATAAATGAAATAGGATTTAATGCCTCATTCACAATTTGTTCTGCAACCACAAAATGCAGAAAATATTACTCCTTTTATGAATTATTAGTAACATATCTCGTATGTCATAAGGTTAAAATTCCAATTTTGATTTATTTGCTATTTTGTTCCCATCAAATGCATCAAAATTTGGATAAGTCCAAAACTGAATTTTACATTGAACGCAAAATAAATAATCATTTTTGAAAACAATTGTAAATTATCTATTTTGTATATAAAGAGATGTGCTATTCTTCCAGATGCATAATAGCCCACCAGCGACCAGGTAAAAAAAGCGACCAGGTAAAGTCGCTGAACACTGGTAGTTCGGTCCGAGGTTCGAATCCCGCGAACGGGCTGGCTGCATGGGCTTTTTCGTGGTTTTTCCCATGTGTGAGGTGTATACGAGCCAGTTTCCCTTAGAAAGTCCTCCACGAAGGCATCCCTTCCCTTAGGCAGATTGCGATAATTAAATACACCAACACCAGATGCATAATAAAATAAAACTTTACGTTTCATGAAATTTCACGTGGTTATTCTTAGAATTATTTTAATTACGTTCTAGATAAACGTAAAAGCTATTGCTTGAAGTGTAAAAGTAATTAATGCATAATTTTAATTTACTCTTATAAGCATTATAATGTTTTAGATAATTATTTTTTCTTAAATTTTATTTATTTCTTTTTAATTGTGCACCGAAGACAAAATTCTACACTGTATGAAAATTAACATGACTATTCTTAAAATTATATTAGTTGTGTTCTAGACAAATTTAAATTATATTAGTGAAGTACGAAAGTGATTAATATATGATTTTATTTATAAGTTTTATAATATTATAGGTAATTCTTTATATTTTTTAAATATTATTTTAAAATATCTAAACTCCTTGTGTACCACACAGTGCGACAAAAGGTGCACAGAGGTAAGCAATGAAAAAAATAGAGACAGCTTAACACGAAATAAAATAAAATTTATAAATTCACTGATGAAATGTAAGAAATAAATATACAAAAGAAAAAGAGTGACATTTTATTTTGAACACATACATGGAGAGCTGTAGGAAACGTTATGCTTAAAGCTTGAATTCTGGCATCAGTTCTTTTCAATCTTGTCTAAAGTTTGAGGTGTAGAACAATAAATTCTCAGCATTTTGTTCTTCCCGTAAGCTACAGGAACCAATGTCCAATGAGATGGCTCAAATTTCTTCAAATATGAATTCAAATTACCGTGCGTAATTAGAAATTTAGTAAAAGTTTTCTTATTGGGTCTGTAAGGAACACAAGAGAAAGTAATTTATTTAGAGAATTAGAAGAAGTATATCTATATAATTCATTTCTGTTGAGAAGTGTATTGCTCCAACTTGGTTTCTTGAAGAATGATTTAAGAAATGTCACTGTGGTCTTAACCACAGTAGTTTGTTTTCGCAACCAATCAGCCCTTTAAATTTTCTAGATGGTCGGTGGAGTCAGGCATATGACAGAAGAAGATGTCATTAACGCATTTATTAATAACATCATTCGTAATCGCAGTTGACAGTTAAATTATTACAGGCAAAGATATTCGAAAGAGAATGTAAGTATGCATTTATTAGGGTAATAAAGTGAATATATTATGTTTTTTTAATTTTTTATACCTTGATAACGCTTTCTAAGTAAAGCATATTCTTTACATCTTCATTAGTAGCCTCTGCTATCTTATTATCTCCGAATATGGAACATTGCTCTTGATAAACTTTATTCTGGACTTCAGGATGCAAGCCAAGAAGATACAAAACCCAGCATACGGCGATAGTTGATGTATCATGTCCCTAATGGGAAAAGAAAATGAGAATGTTAAAGCAGGTCTGGAAAACATTTAACTTCGGTTTATATCATCATTTATAAAAATAAAATGAAATTTTAAATATATGGCTATAATTTAGGCCAAAATATTTAGAAAGAAGCATTTGATAAACAATAATACTTACAACTAAACTTTTGTTAGTAATAATCGAAACGGAAAATTTTGTTTCAAACCAAATTTTAAGATAATTATTACCTTGACATTCCTTTAATTTAACGTCCAGAAGTCGAGCATTTCAGCTTCGTGGTATAAAAGGTTTTAGGGACCGATTGATTGAGTACCTCAGCCTCGTTTCTTTATATCTGTGAGTAATAGGCATTACTCATTAAGCTTTATTTTACATTTAATCAATTTATTTGAGAATTAAAAGCCGGTTTGGTAAGTTAGTAATGACATGTTAATCATTACTTTTACATTCTGATTACAAAATCATCTGATATTTTGTCGGTGTTTTATAACCTATACAAAAGCAAAACACGCTTCATTAAATTTCCTTTATGTGTCTTTACAGTTAGCCGCTATTAGGCGTTTTTCTAATTTCGAGTAACCTAAAAGATCATTGTAAAAGTGTTCAGTAAATATTTTATTTTATTGTTTATCTCTGAGTAGGTATCTAGATACCTTCGGATGAATTACAGGAATCAGAGAAGGAGGAAATTTTTTCTCGAGAAAATTTATCTTTTCAAGGTGTAACTTTAATACATTGTAAGGTTTATCCTAAGTTTTAACAGTTTTCTTTAGTTAAAGCGGCCCACCAGCGGCCGACCGGTAAAGTCACGGAACACTGGTAGTTCGGTCCGAGGTTCGAATTCCGCGAACGGGCAAGCTGCATGGGTGCTTTTCCCCATGTGTAACGTGTATACGAGCAAGTTTCCCTTAGAAAGGTCCTCCACGAAGGCATCTTCCCTTTAGGAAGATAGCCCTCGAGGCTTTAATTAAATAACCTAACCTAACCTTTAGTTAAAGGTACTCTCCCGTACTTTCTAATTTCAACTTACAATTTCCTGCCACAGTGTATTTTTAGAATCGCTGTATACAAATGAAGGAAGAACGGTACTTAAGTCGAAGTTCCATTGACTTGGCTAAAGAGCCAGAGATTCTGATTAGCGCGCGTTTGCCTTTTGGCTAAACTGTCCCTAAGTTATCACTACGTTCGACCGTATTTCAGGCCTTTGATAACTTCACCGTTCAGTTAATATTTAGGGGTCAACTCCTTTAGAATTTTGATAGCTTCGGCTATATCATTTTAGTTAAGCATTAGTTAAGTTTGATTTTCTTAATACTCTTGAGTTCAAGGCCCAAGTGGAGGCTTTTCTGTACGTCCTGGGAAAGGGGCCATCTGTTAATTCTTATTTTGAACAATAAAGAGTAAGTAATCCTTTTTGAGTTTACGTTTCTGTGTCCTGAGCTAAAGCGATTATTCGCTTACCAGTTCTCAAGGTTCCACACACATAGCCGTAAATTCAATATTGGAACCCTATAACCATAGTGATATTTAACGTTATTTATAGCCAAAGTATTGAATATTGTCCTATTGCTTTGAATATATTGTAAGGATCCTAAGTTTTACTAACGTTTATTTTATTTTAAAACTGTTCTATCACTTCTTATTTTCTACTTTCAGCCAGAATTAAATGCTTTAACCCTGTTTATGCAAATTGTCTTGCTAACGCCTATGTATTTAAGTTGTGGCTTTTTGCCAAGCGTTAGAGAGACAAGGAGATTTAGAAAGCGAGCCGCCTGCCACTGCAGTTTTACGAGTTTTCACTCGGTTGCTGTTTGCCTTTAAGGCCAGAGGTTTAGCCCTCTTGATATTTGACAAACGTATTGTAGTTTCCGCAGCTCGGCGTACTACATACGTCCTTTTTTAAATAAAGGCCAGTCTTAGTGCTAGGCATTTGTATACTAATTCAAAGTTAGCTTTACTTATTACAGTTGAAGAAAATATTCCACTTAGAAAAATTACAAACTGGGATAAATTCATTCATTCTCTGGAAAAACTACCAGCGCATCCTGCTTTAGCCGATATTACTGACATTGAGTATCAAATGACTAAGGTCAATAATTGTACAAAAAGTGCTCTTAACAAATCTACTAAATATAAAGAACATAAAAAAGAAAAACTTCCGGATAACATTATTGACAAAATTAAGGACAAAAGTCGCACCGCTAAAATTTGGCGCCGTACTGCTTATCCTAATATCAAAAGAATTCTTAACAGAAAAAATAGGAATATTAAAAATCTTCTAAGTGAATACAGATCTGATAGTTGAAATAATTTATTAGACTCAATGGACTTCAACCCGGATACAGTGTGGCGTATTGGGAAAGCGCTCAGAAAACTCATAGCGACAACATTGGACCGTTGCACACCGATACTGGAATCGCATAATCTGAAAAAGATATGGTAGAAGTTCTTGCAACACATCTTGAAAAAACCTTCACGACAAATAACTCATAAGATGAAGATGGACCTAAACCTGGACTTGTCGGAAAACATCACACAAGCCCACTGTTGCGGTGACCACAATGCATGCTCTCTACTCCAGGCTAACCGCAGGCGAAAGTGAGTTTCAGTAAGTGGAACGCATCGGACAGGTCTACGAGCATATAGACCAATCTGCCCTAAGCGTCTGTACACGGTTTGATTGAAATTGTCGTACCAGTGGCTGAAGAGAACTGACGAGACAGGTCTGAGGCTGTGCTCCGCCTGTTTCTTTTGGCAGTAACTGCCAAATACCGGTCCTCATTCGGCCTTGTAACTCTGAGGCGACCTATGCAGTAACGTCTACTCACATTACCATCATCTTGCAATCGCTGCCAAAGCCTGGAGATGACACTCTGGGCAATTCCAAATTCGTCTGATTCTTCCAGTTGGGTACGCCCATATTCCAGACGGCCGATAATTCTACCACGTAAAAAATCATCCAAATGCGTCCTTTGTGTCATAACTATTCGGTTATTGCACTGACATGCTTATAAAGCTCCTGCGAACAATTTTACTTCTCTGCCTGTATTCCTTATATATCACTCTCTTACACTCTCGTCGTTGTGACGTACCATCGGTGTCATCTGGTTACTTCCTGAAATTTGCATATGATTCTTGAAGATGTGTGTAGTGATTTTACAGGTGATATATTTATTTTAGAGTTCGATTTCCGCGTGACTCCGAATTATCCTTAATTTATGGAAATGAGTGTAAAAGGGTGATGGATGATGACACTCCACACCCAGGATTTGGCGACTGGGGCTCCTAAAATCCCCAGTCGCCCTTTAAAAAGGAAGTATATAAGGGGTATTTCTCCCGCCTTCATAGCGTGTCTTCATGGTGTAGTGATTCTGCACGCTGGGTCGGTATTCCAGAGATCCGTGGTTCGATTCCCGGCGAAGACGATTGCTCATTTTTCCTCTTGCCTGCTTTCAAATTACCTAATTTCTCTACAACTTATTATAATAATTTTACAATTACCAAATATTTTTACACAATGTATCTGAAAATAAATAACGATAAGACAGTATAGACAAAGAAAAAACGAAAACGTTTGGACGCATTCTTTTTATAATCTAAACGTTCATTTTCCTTGCTTTGCACGTGACGTTGTCATTTCGTCTGTTACTTATACAAGATTTTCACATTGTTCTATGTCTTAAAATTAGAAATTAAAGTTGATGACCTAAAACTTCAGTAGTATATTACGGTACAAGTGAAAAAATTGACAGTTTCACTCACGCGTGTGTCGGATTTCCGCAATAATTATGGGGGTCTCTCAAAGTTTTTGTAAATATTATGGGATCCTGGGGGTGGAGAAAAATTATTAGTGATAAAAAGGGATCGCGACTGTAAAAGGTTTAAGAAACCCTGCACTAGACGATGACGACTAGACGAACAAAGTTCACGAAACGCGCACCCGCGCGTCAAAAGCAGAAGATCGCTAACATGTTTAATTGCCAAAATGACATAAATAACATGAATTTGAAACGTAAATAATGACATAAATAACATAAACACATAAATTCGAAAAGGGAAACAGTAAACATACAAGTATTACAACTGAACTTACCTTAAAAATATCTACAAAATAACTAATCAGCAAATCGTGGCCATTTTATTTTTTGTTTCAAATCAGACCTTCAGCGATTTGCCGAAGATGAATACGAGGAACTAGCAGATTTATCGGATAGAATGGTACAATGCCTCGAAAAAATATAGTTCTACGGAACTTTGTACATTATTGCGTAATAAACAGTACATTTTTTCGTTATCTGATTGATTAATTGATGGAGTGAAAGTTAAATAATAATGAATTAAATTTCATTGAAATGTAAAACTTTGAAGGTATGGGACGACCACCTTCTGGGCAGTATTTCTGAGAAGTTTATTTATTATTATTTTGTTTTAAAGAATATAACAAAAGAAAGTAACTAACTGCAAACAGGAAAGTGTTCACTTCTTCCTGAACATCCTCAATGGTAAAACTTGGATCCTTAACATGGTATTCCAGCAACAAGTCCAAGAATGATTTGCTGGTCCTCTTCGAATGTTGGTCATATTCATTACATTCTTCTTCCAGTTTGAATGATTCTAGCCTCTCATTAATAATCTAAATCATAAAATAAGCTCAGAATTTTGTTTCGGCAGTAAACTGATTTTATTCATATCAACGAAAAAGAAACGATATGAATAAAAATGCAAAAATAAATTAGATGACAGTTTTTAAATCTATTCTACATTCTTATGCTACAATGCTACATACTATGCTGCAATGCTACATTGTTTATTCTGAATAACTATTACGTCGATACCAAAGGCAAATGTCTAAAAATAATAAAGCAGTTTTTTCTATATAAAAATATTTTGTGCATTATGTTTTAAATGTTTAAGACGTAATAATAGATTAATTTTCGTACCTTCCTAGTGAAATCGTTTGCAATCTTTTCATTCTTTCGAAATCGCTGGCCTATGGACGTGAAGTAAAAGATAGTATCAGGCGACAGCCAGGGTCTTAACATTCTCTCAACGAGTAAATCCGTGGCCCTAAGTTGTAATAAAGTAATGATAATTCGCATTTAAACTACCATCGTTACAGTATACTCACAAAACCTAGGTGATTTTAAAATCATAGAAAAATTTGCATTTTCTTATTGCTTTATTTTGGTTTTATTCTGTGCATTATTTGAAATAATTAACTATAGGTAGCTTTTTAATTTCTACAATCTGAATACAAAAAGTATTTTCTTGTGTGAAAGTTAATGTTAGCAGATTTTCACTGATATTAAATTTTGAAACATAATTCATCTCTTCACAGGAAGAGATTCCGCACACATTACTAATCAATGAAATTGTCAAAAGTTGAACAATTACTTTCCAATGTATTCCTTTAATATAAGAATAAAAACCTAGGGGAGTGAGAATATGGAAAATTAAATTCTAAAATAGTACATTGGCATTCAGAATTTAAGAAAACAATATAAATTACCAATTGTTGAAAGCATAAAGAAATCTGAGTGGCTGAAATTCTTTGCTGAGGCGAATGTCTGTATGCAAGTATTGTATATTACTGTCAGTCATAGCATGTCTGAACGTTTGCTAACTAAGCAAATTTTGAAGGTGCTATAATTCTGAAGAATTTGAGAAGGTTCATTTAAAAGATGAGAGAAGTAATAATAATTTTTGTAGGATACGTTTTGACGATATTAGGTTCTCTATGCCTGAATGTAGATGAATGACAAATAGGGAACTTTGTCGGGATTTCGGGCGCATTGGAACAGAATAGTGAATAAAAGATGTCGCTGTGAAGTGTGTATGATTATCTGGTGTGGCCATGCATCTTGTTAGTGTAAGTTTGCTACCTTTACTTGAAATACAGCATTAATTAAAACTTTACTTTTCCTTTCTTGTTGATTTTACCATGGCGTGCTTAACTTTTGGAAGCCTGTATATAAAATGGAAGAAACAATTCAGTGCTTTGGATGTATTTTCCATAGTTATAATTAATTTATGCTTTTAATATATTACTTTAAGTAATTTAACAATAAATATTACCACGTCAGAAAGCGAAGCTCTGTACTCACTCATCTATAGCTTCCAGATATTCTATAGCTTCATGATTTCCCTGCTGACTACCGATATCTGTACCCAATATAGTATCTGAAAAAAGGACTAATCATAGTTTTAAACGAAATTTTGCACACAATCAGTAGCATTTTTAATCTTTACCAAGAAAAAATGAGCTCAGATTTTTTTATTTATTTCAGAAAATACAAACGAATTTCTAGCACCGCTAAAAACTACTGAACTTATTGTGCATAATATTCTGTGCTTAGCGTCTTCTGTATTACAGAAATCGCGTAGCCCAGTTTCAGTTAGTTTTGATTTGATATAATTCGATTTTAAAATTTCAAAATATAATAAACTTTAGCTTAAGGAAGTAAAAATAAATTTTAAAAATCTAGTATACTAAAATTATTTTAATACGTATATTCACCTTGAACTAAAAGGAATGAGCTTTCGGACAAATTTTATTAACACTCTAAAAATATGAAATATTTTTTAACAACACAGTGAGGATAAGAAACTATTCCATACCAAAATAATGTTCACAAAATATATGTAAGTCTTTAATAAATTAGACTGGATTGAATGTAAAGTAATAAACAGAGAGCTTTATTTCACACAACGTTTAAGACTAACTAATACATATACATAATTATGGGTTCTAGCAAAAAAGCACACAGGAAAAAAGCCCACAGGAATAATGCTCACAAAATAATGCTCACAGGTATAAATGTTCACAAGAAAAACGCCCACACAGAAATATGCTCACACAGAGAAAAGCTCACATGGAAAATAGCTCACTTAGAAATATGCTCACACAGAAAAAGCTCACATAGATATATGCTCACATGGATGCTCGATCTGAACATCGTACACCTACTTAATTTTTAAAAAGAAAATTATTTAATCATTTGAAAAAATTATTGGATAAATGCTCACATTAACCTTTTCAGAGGCGGTATATAAAAGAATGAAAGCTATAGTAAAATGTTGCATGCACTATAATATTTTATACCACTGCCTCTGTACGACATTTTTATTCTTGTAACTGCCAATAGTTAATTTTTTTTTTATTTTTGCATACTTTTGATGTGTATCTATAGAAATTGATGTTTGAATGTAGTTATTTAAGTTTGGAACCAAAAACGTTCTAGAAGACTACAGTTTCCAATGGAAGTGTGGAATCATTATGAAGCAGCCTCTGAAAATTCTCCTAAAACCATAAATCGTTACGAAAGCTTTCATAAGGTACTAAATTCATTATTTAATTGTAGCCATCCTAGTATGTGGTTTTTATTTGACGGACTGAAAAACGATTTAGCCTGTCAACGTTTATTATTAGCTATTGTAAATACAGGGTGTACTGAAGTTTAAAAAAATATGAAAACTTACATTTAGTAATCGCGAATCATGTAAGAAACTATGATGAAATCGCTTGATAAAATTAGATATTTACCATATTAGCTAATTTCAGTAATTTTATTTATTTACAACTTTTTGAAATATATATATGATTTATATATAATAAGGTATTTTACGTAATTTAAATAATAATATTTATATTTGCTATTCGTCTAAATGTTTATATTATAAATGTATCTTATATGTACTATTATTTTAATTTTAACAATTAAATTGTAATATTTTTCACTATATTCTGTTTATTCTTCTTCCTTCCTCCTCTCCTTTTCCTAATTCAAAATATTCATTGTTATCTTATATAGCAACTGAATCTACACATAAATATACATACGCATAATAATATACCATAAGTTTCGTAATTTAATAATTTTCTTTGAAAAATTGCAGTAGGTTACGATGTTCAAATTGATGATTATTGTTGATAATGTAGGATATTTTCCATTTTATTTATCAGTGGGCTTATTTCCATATGAGCATGTATCTATGTAAGATTTTTTCGTGGAGTATATTTCTAAGTGAGCATTTTTCCAAGTGAGCTTTTTTCTGTGTGGGCTTTTTTTCCTGTGAGCATTTATACCTGTGAGCATTTATACCTGTGAGCATTTATACCTGTGAGCATTTATACCTGTGAGCATTTATACCTGTGAGCATTTATACCTGTGAGCATTTATACCTGTGAGCATTTATACCTGTGAGCATTTATACCTGTGAGCATTATCCCGTGAGCATTATTCCTGTGAGCTTTTTTCCTGTGGGCATTTTTCCGGTTACCATAATTATGACATCACGGTTTATTTTTACAAATAAACACTACTGTTACCTACTGGCGATCGGAGGATACACAGTGATAAACTTTATTTAACAGAATGAAACATAAATAAAAATGTAATATTGTTGTCATTCACACCAATTCAATAAGCAAAACATGTAGCCATAAAACATATAGCCATAAAGTTATCGTATTAATGATAACATATAATTAAATGCTCAGAAAATAAATAAGAAAAAAGACACAAAAAGAAATGCAAATATTAACTACATATCCAAACATCATGATCTATTATTTTTATTCATACCTGGGAATTCCAATGGAATCATTTTCCTTGCCCTGACGCAAGACGGTTTTCTTCATTAACCCACTCAGAATGTTTTCAATAATATAAAACATACAGTGAAATCATAATACAAAGAGTTGCTTATAATTAACTTAACAATTAGACTAAAACAATTAACAAATAGTTTCAAGCTAAATGGTTTATAAGATTCGTCTCTTGTTATTTCTTGCATAAACGTTATTTTTAATTTTACAAACATGAATAAGGTTTTAGATTTATTTGATATTATATCTGCGTTTTTTGTATTGATGTAAGGTTTTTAGCATTTGGTATAAACATATTTAATTTAATTCTTAAAGCATTGTTTTAATAACTGTTTAATGTTTTTTACTGAAATATTCATTTTTTTTCTTGTTTTCCGTAATGGGACATTAGCTTGATTAAAACACGCTTCCACTAAAAAAAAAAAAAAAAAAAAAAAAAAAAAAAAAAAAAAAAAAAAAAGTGTTGATTCCATAACAGCTTTTATTTTGGGATAGTTCTCTGGGTGAATTTTGAATTCCAAAACTTAGCGAATCTATATTTTTTCAATAAGACTTGATTTTGTATGGTGTAGCTTTTTATATCAATAAACAATTAGTAATTTTATGAATAAATTTTTATAGTCAATAGAATCTTTATTATGCCGATCAAATACCAGTGCACAACCGGCTTTCGATCTTCAGTTATCGCCTTGATCATCATTGGAAGGTTTCATCGATCCCGAGCGGAATACCGACCCCGTTGAAAACCCATGTTTTATAGAGTCAAGTTTCTTTTTGTGCGGTTTATTTTCATGTGATTTTACGTTACGCCATAAGATACGTATTTAAGTTTCTCCTGGGGTCCTAAAAAGCATATGCATGTATTTATATTGAGATCATTCGTTCTTGAGCTGCGACAGCTATCGTTGTAAGAGAATGGGAAAAACATATGTGAAATGGCATGTAATAGCGTTTCACATTTATTTTTGTATAAATTAAGGGCATATAATATGAGCGCAGTATGGAAGTGCAAATGATTTCTTTGGTTTTGAAACTTATTTTCCTGAAGTCACTCACATAGTGGAAACGCGATAGCAACTTAGTTTCAATAAATTTCTGTCAACGCATTTGAATTCTTCAAACTGAACGCTATTGAACTAACTAATGAAACATTTATGAATATAAATAAACAAAGGACTTGGCTGAACAACAACAAGTTAGATAAAGTAGACTGTATTTGAAAAGCCTGCACCAGCGTCAACATTCCCTTAAAATATCATTGGAATAGTTCATTCCTTATCAGAGCATATTACAGAAATTGCTCCCAATGTTGAACACAGCGTTAGAGTTCTCAGAACGATAATCAATGTAATTCGTTGCTATACAAATTTTATGAAGAGAAAAATTAAAGAAGGAAATGTTCAACTATCAATACTGAAGTTTTTATAAAATAAAGAATGAATTAGAATAAGAATATGCATTTTAAAATAATTTCTAATAAAATAATTTGAACTCATTAATTGCGTTTTATTTATTTAAGAACAGGTAGAAAACGTTTTCAGAACTAGTTATAATTTTCTTCAGGAATTCAGTTCGTCTATTATTACAGTTTTAAGCAGTCCGAGATATTGGCAGTAACGATTACCCGGCCTAAGCGAGGTGCAACTCTATTTTATTCTCAATTTCTGACGCATTATTTTTGGAAACGTTTCTGTTAGAATGTTTTTGCTAGCAGTATCACACACTATGTATTCCTGTCCTAAAGTTCGTATTATTCCTAAATTATGTATATGTAAAACGCATAAAGTTTTACAAAATATCAAACAAACAAGAAATTTGTAATACCTCCAAAACAGCATTTTGAATATATCAACATTTTGAATAAAGTTATTGAAAACGTATATTTTGTGATAAAATATTTAAGAAATTACAGTATTCTAAAAGAGCTGGGTGGTGGTGGTGTATTTAATTATGGCAAAGCACACTAGGGCTATCTGCCTAAGAGGAGGGATGCCTTTCGTTGAAGCCCCCCTTTGTAATGGAAACGGCTCGTCACACGTTACACATAAACCACGCAAAACGACCCCATGCATCTCCCGTTCGCTGGGATTCGAACCTCGGACCGAACTACCAGTGTTCAGCGACTTTACCGCTCGGCCGCTGGTGGGCTCTAAAAGAGCTGGGATAGAGCATTTAACAGACATAAAATTGTAGTAATAGAGAGAAATTGTAATTGTAATAATAATTTCTAATTTTCATCTATACTGTTCCTAAGAGTACGCCTTTCGTCCTCGGGTCACTTGAAATAAATTTAATAATAATTGGCTCTGGCTGCCCAATTCCTGTACCGAAACATCTCGTTCTCAGAATGCTAGTGCGGATGACCGCCATTGTCTGTATAACGAAATCCTTCAAATGCATTATCCTTCAAATGTTAAGCAAGAAAAGAAGTTTTAGAGCATGACTGTCAAGATAAACAAAATATAAGCATGAAATGTAGAAGAGAGGTATAAATAATGCTTTTGTTATGCTTTGCTCTATAATATTTGCATCCTTCCGAAACGAAATTATGGTGTTGTTCTGAAGACTTCTATAAGACTTATGAAAAGGGATAAAACTTTACGTCTTGTATGCAATTTTCTGTCTATCTAGCTGAAAATATTCCATAGCTTTTCCGACAATAAATTTCTTTAGCATAATATAGAAAATGTTTTTCTTATCATAGAATAAATTAAAAAAGCAAAATATCAAACCGGAAAAAATGTATAAGTGGGCATACTATGTATACTGGTATTACCTCTTTCTCATACGCGGGATATCTGTCAGTCTTAAATTTGTAATGGGCTGTTTTCATTTCAGGCACTGCGATCAGTATCTGAAATACGAACTGAGCTCTTTTATGACCATCAAAAGGTCAAAGACATGTTGGAGTGTAATCTCTGCAGTGTCTCCATATCAATTTTATCAAGGTTAATTCCATCAAGAAATGTAAAGAGAATATTTTTGTTCATTACTAAAAAAATGCGGATATTTAGCACTGGTTTTATGCAATTATTGCAGAAAGGAATCACTTTGATTGCGAGAAAGTATGTGGATTTAAGCCCAAAGTGTAGTATATTTTGAATGTCTGTCATGAAACACATGACAGAAAAATATGTGTATATAAATAGGGAAACAATTGTCTTCTTTCAAGTTTTCAGGCCAATCATCCTTAAGAAACCTCGACCTTCGACAATAAGTAAGTATAGTGATTGGCGGAATTCAAATGCCTGTTAAGATATTAATTAATGATAATCTTTTCATTTCTTCTACAGCCTTAGATATTTCGTTTTTTATTTACCAATAACACACAATTTAGTCTAAAGCAGTGAATTCGCTAATAATATATGTTTGGTGAAGTACACTGTTTCCATTATCTGGAAGATGAAATTCCACAATACGTGCTTTAATTTTACTTTATGTAAATCGTGTATCTCTCATTGTTTACTTCATATTCATGATATTAGGGTATTTTATACAGCTTTATGAGACAATTTGTATGATTAAACATATCAAAAATTGGAAATTTTCGGGATACATTCCTATGTCAATTACTAGCTGCTGTTTCATCATCTTACTCTATTTCGGCTTATTTATCTTTTTGTATTGTAATACACAGAGCAGGAGAAAAAAAATAAAGACCAAACCTAAGCTTACGTTTAGTTTTTAATGTTTTGGTAGTTAATTGTTGTATCCTGTCAACGTGATTTAAAATCTGAATATTTTACTCTCATATCGGTATTTAAACAGCATTAATAATACATTTTATTTGAAAAGTGTGTGTTTTATCATTGCGCACGTGGTATGTCAAAGCGGGATATCACAACAGTATTTTACGAATTTTCCGAAATAAATATCGTTAATGTGTAAAAATACTCACGACATAAAATATCCAAGGCAACAGTAGTTATCACAGGCGTAATATCAATCCATGGCTCATTTATGACGCTTTTTAACTTGTTAACGAGAATTAATGAATGCTCATTAAATCGGGCGACGTGATTCTCCAAAATTCTAGAGTGAAATGCTGGCTGCAGCAATTTTCTTCGCCGTGTATGTTTGTCACCAGAACTGAAAAAATTAAGAACTAATGAATTTTCTTAAGTCGCATATTTTGTTCAATATAGTCTGTTATAAAATCTTTTTCTGCTATCTGGATATTTACTTTTACTAACCTATTTTGAATTACTATCGTAGATTATAAATGAAATTACCATTCAAAATGTTTCTCCAAGAGGAACAGCCCATTTATTTTTTTAGTTAATATAAGTGTATTTCAAGCCTAGAACGCATAAAACAAACGGATTTATGTTACATATAATTTACTTCACTACTTTCACTTTAAAAAAGATTCTCAATCCTTTGTCAATCGGAATTACAGCAAGATCTTAATCTGCATAATTTATGATTTGAGTATGTGTTCTAGCTTTTTTCAGAAATCTAACTCAATGGTCATGATGTCTTCTAAATGATCAAAATTTAGACTGTTAGCGCATGGCGTGTTCAACCTTCATACGAACCACTTTAAACAGCCGCTACTTGATAAAATATTTCTGAAACATTCTGCCAAGTAACACTCTACTTCATTGTCCTATAACTCCATTGAGAGAATTTATTTAGTTCCACTTGTATGTGGGACAACTCCACATCCTTTAATGATACTGTACTGAGTTGCATTGGACAGGAGTTTCTCTTATTTTGAGGAGATTTATCTTCCTGATCACCATACTCCCTCCTAGTTTCAAAGATTCGCCTTAATTTTACAACCCCACCTTTTCCTTTATTTTCCACACTGTTGAGAGCTACTTCCTTATAACTTTTCTATTTCTCTCTTGGAATTTTTTATGAATTGATTTTCCATCACTTATTTTCCCATATCTATCAGTAAGTCTACCACCGAAATCTATCGACTCTTCTACTTCCGAAATTCTCATCATATCTAGTTTCGAATCTAGCACCACTTTTATCTTATGTAATCGTCATGAAACCTATGGACACATCTGTTTTTGACCAATGTACCTCATTCATGCTTCAAAGGAAACTCATAAACGTTAGGCTGAAGTACTTTGATTTCGCATTTTAGTTAAGTCCTGAATCTCTGGTATTAATCTCCGATCGATCTATTGTGTTACCTCAATATCCGAATTTCTTCCGTACAAATTCCCTTATGAGCTCAATTCTGGTCAAACAATCGAAGTTAAATCCTCACCTAACATTTGATATTGTCCAAACAACTAAGATTCCAAGCGAATTCTTTCTTTGAATGTAAAACAAGTCTTTACTCAATGTGCCTTAAATATATTGAACATATATGTTTCCCCGCGAGGTTCGCCTAACAAACGTTTCTCGATTTATTTATTCCAAATCAACACCAACTCTTTCGATACGAATGACACTTTCTGTTATTCACCATTCGGTGTATAAAAATGACTACCCTTTCACGAACATCAGCACAGAATATCTTCCTTCGAAACTAACATCAGGTTTCAGAAATGCTTGTATAGCAACTAACAGATATCCGAAGTCTTCAAGGAAACATGTCTTATAATATCAGTTTGAAACCTATTCAGTCTGGGCTAAGATTACTGTTGTTTCCTTATATAATGTGATAGGTACGCACTATTAACATTGATCCAATAAAGTAATTATAATTGAGTGCCTGACGACTTTTCTTCTCATATGAACTCTTAGCTGAAATGATTATAAAGAAGTTAAAAAAAAAACTCTTTAGTAATACTTCAACCTTACAATTATACTAGCTCACTGGTAAATGTTCACATATTCAGGTAGAGTAAAAAAATAATTAGCCTAACCTAAAGGTTAGTTCTACTTTCATAAGCGCTCTAAGAGAATCGTGCTGATGGAAACTTGCGTTGGGAAGCTAAATTGCAGCAGCAGAAAATCTAAAGCAATATGATAGCCACCTTACGATGCTATCAAAATCGTAAATACCCCAAATACACTATAAAAATCACAGCAACTGCAAATATATTTATGCTTTAAACTAATTTATATTCAGATGGACTTTAACGAAAGTACAAGTTATGTAAGAGCCAAAATAGTAAGGTAAATTTATTGGTTATTATGAAACCTTACACATACAATTTACACGCATCAGCGCAAAAACACGTTTACTCAGTTTCAGCAGGGTCATCTCATCTTCACCTCGCGAACCCGAATAATCTTTGATTTCCTTTTCTTAACGTGGTAACACCCCAGTGTATAAGAACAAAAATAATCAAAATTCTCAGACAAAAATGCACCGGTGATAACGACAACCAGCTTATCAAGCTCATCGGCTACCAGCTCATCAAGATCCTGCGTAAAAACCTCCCCTATCTACTCCCCAACTGATTGAAAAGAATTTAGAAAGAAACCTCTTCCAAACCAATTTGAAAATAGTCCAAATAGTTCCCTTAATAAAAAAGGCCAGAATGCATCGAACACAGACTCTTACTGCCCAAAACATCTGTGAAATACTTCAAGATTACTTTTAAAACAGATGAAGCGTAATTATAATTAACGACCGTACAATTGAAAAAGCGCAAATAAGAGGTTGTCCGCAGGGCTCATGCCTAAGTGAAATTTTTTGGAACTCTGCACAGAATCATGAATGACAAATGGCCTCAACACACTAAATGCGTCGCTTTAGCAGATGATTCGTCTTACATCGTGGGTGTTATCTCCAGGGTCGATTGACGAAGAAATGTAAACAACACACTAGAATGTTTCAAATGTATATGCAAAAAGTAATAATTTTTTAATAAAGCTCTCATGTCATAATTTTCTCAAACCCTCAGCAAAGGATAACAAGCCTTCCAAGTTTCAAATTCGATAGAAATAAAATGAAAGTAGTTAACTCCTTAAAATACCTGGGCATCATCTTTGATAAAAAAAGGCTTAACTTTGTCAGATATATTTTAATTTTATAACAATTATTTTAATTTACCGTTATTTTCGGTAGAAAAGACGCGGCTTATACATGTTTAAAAGTTGAAAATTTAGGTCTGCGGCGTACCTGCCGGAGCGGCATATCTGAGGGGAATTTTATTTTTCCCCCTTAACGATCTAAATTAGCGAAGTTTTAAACCTTCGCTAATTTAGATCGTTAAGTTATGCACAAGCCAAACTGTAAGAAATCGCTGTAATATTCTAACCTCAGATTGCCCTAAGGTAGTGCAGTGTGTTCAAACTAGTAAGATAGTTATAGGTAACTAAGATAGTTCGCGCTCTGTATAAAGACAACGCAATGCATGTACTTTCTGCTAAACTCCATGGTTTTCCCCGCGATTTCTACGACTTTTCGTTTTAATGGAAACGACTGTGCTTTCTTATCTCAAGAAACTCATAGCCAAAGGATCTAAAACCGAATGGCAGACCATGGTGGGACAGTGCGGAATAATGGACAATCACATCTTTAAAAATATGATTTTGGCAACAATTTTCCTGTTTTATTGTTGTTGATAGATTTTTGATGAAATCGCATCATTTTGAATAGTTTCATTCTTTTAGAAATATGGGTTTGGCAACAATTTTTCATGGTATTTCTTATGTCACTGTTTTTAAGAGTATTTCATATTTCATTGTCATTTATATGTTTTTGATAAAGTTGTTCTTCAGAACAAAATTCTGCGCGGAATTTTATGTTTTTTGAGTTGCTTTTATGTTATTTTTTTCTTATTTCACCGTTTGTAAGATATTGAAATGTTTTGCATTATTTTTTTTCTTCAACGGATAAGTTGGTTAATTTTTTTATTAGGATAATTAATATTTGTCTTAAGGATTATAGCTTATTTCCTTGTAATTTTTCTCTTGAAAATATAATATAAAATATCCTTAATTATACTTTGCTTTTCAGAATTTTTTGTTATTTTTCTTTTGTATTCTTTTATGTTATTTATTGCTCATTTCACTGTTTTTAAGATAGTGAAAAGTTTTGAATGATTTTTTTAGGAAACAAAGTTCTTAACCTACTTTATACCATTTGAGTTCTTAAGATTTTGCAAAGAGAAATTGGTTAATTTATTTTTTAGGATAATTAATATTTGTATTAAGGGATATTGCTTATTTCATTGTAATTTGGTATACGTAATAACATTTTTTTATAAAGTTGTTTTGTAGAGAAAAATTCTACGCAGTTTTTAAATTTAACGTTTGGTGTTTCCTTCAGCCATTTTTCCATTTAAAAGCCAGACGAAGGCTGGCAGAGCTGCTAGTATATATATATATATACGTATATAACACGTATTTGAAACTTGAATTTAGAAATTCTGAATAAATCTAAGCATTAAATTTACTCACGCGCACACACATACCGACATCACACATATGTATGTACATAACTTTTACATTCAAATTTCAATTTTAATTATTATGTATACATATAATATATACATGTCTGTGGCATGACAATTTGCATATATGTATACAGTATTCTCGTGTACTCAATACGTTCGCAGAATGTTTAGAAAAAGTACATGTCAAGTAAACAAAACTACAACACTGAATTTGGTGTTAGCGAACTGTTTGTATAAAAATAGAAAGTAATAATATTAGACACAATGTAAACCTATTCTAGTGCAAACCTGTTAAATAATTTTTTGTCCTTTCTGCACAATGAAGCAGTTTGAGAGAAGGGCAGTCTGAGCAAAGAACCATGGGATTCTTTCTCTTTGTTATTGTCTTTCAAGGATCAACAGTTTCAGATAATTCAGACTATACTAAAAGATGCGACAAGCTGTCTATGGCAGCTATCAAAGAAGAATTCTAACATTGATTTCAAGAGCTTTAGGACGCTTAAAATGTATTTGTTAGGACGTATTCCAAATTTAACTAAATATTTTTTTTCTTTTTTGTACAATGTAAGATTATTATTTAACTAACTAGTAATTTAAAGTTTCAGCCTTTACATTTCATCTTTCCATTTCATCCACGGAATGTAAATAACTTATCTAGCATTTAAACTGAAGATATTGTATTGTAGGACAGAACTACAGTACAAAAGAGTGCACGCTACGTTTATATTTTGCCAGTTTTGCATTCTCAGTTCTGTATTATTAAAAAGCTTATTCAAACCTTTCTCTGACT